CGTTTGGATTGCTGTTTTTCAGCATCCTTGGTGAGAAGGTCCCTTCGTTTCTTGCAATGGCCGAAGTATTCCATTAAATGCATTTTCTATTTTGCCTCGTCTGACACATTCTGATTCTTGTTGTTACCCAGCGCCCAAAGTCCAAATGCAATAGATGTCAGTGTGTGATTCATGTATATGTGTGTTCATGTGACAGGATTGTGATTGTAATAGAATTGTATGGCCAGGATGTAGTTTGGCACAGAAGGGTTAAACAGCAAAGTAACAAGCTGTGAGAATGTGACCCTGAGTTCTTGCACTGTAAAAGATTAGGGAGTGCCAGAGATACACTTCCTTCCAGCTGCTGTTTTTATTAATTCCTATCTCTTGGTCCTGCTATGACTCCAGAAGCTCTCCAGCACCCACACTGTATTCTAAAAAACCCATACTGGATAGATGCGGGGAATGCCGTGGATGTAGCGTACCTGGATTTCAGGAAGGCCTTCTTTGACAAGGTCCCCCATGACCTTCTGGCAAGGAAACTAGTCCAATGTGGGCGAGGCAAAACTACGGTGAGGTGGATCAGGAATTAGTTAAATGGACAAACCCAGAGGGTGATTCTCCCCAAGGCTTCCTCTTCATCCTGGAAAGAAGTGACGAGTGGAGTTCCACCAGCAGGGTTCCGTCCGGGCCTGGTCCTGCTCAGGATCTTCATTCATGACTTAGACGAAGGGTGAGAAGGCAGGGTCATCCAATTTGCAGACGACGCCAAATTGGGAGGGATAGCCAATACCCCAGAGGACAGGAGCAGGATTCAAAATGATCTTAACAGATTAGAGAGATGATTGGCCAAAACTAACAAAAGGAAGTTCAACAGGGACAAATGCAAGAGACTCCACTTAGGCAGAAAAAACGAAATGCAAAGATACAAAATGGGGGACGATGAGGCCTGGCTCGAGAGCAGTACGTGTGAGAAAGATCTTGGAGTCCTCGTGGACAACAAGTTAAACATGAGCCAACAATGTGATGTGGCAGCAAAAAAAGCCAATGGGATTTTGGCCTGCATCAAGAGGAGCATAGTGTCCAGATCTAGGGAAGTCATGCTCCCCATGCTCTATTCTGCTTTGGTTAGACCACACCTGGAATATTGTGTCCAATTCTGGGAACCATAATTCAAGAGAGATATTGACAAGCTGGAATGTGTCCAGAGGAGGGCGACTCAAATGATCAACGGTCTGGAGAACAAGCCCTATGAGGAGCGGCTTAAGGAGCTGGGCATGTTTAGCCTGAAGAAGAGAAGGCTGAGAGGAGATATGATAGCCATGTATAAATATGTGAGAGGAAGCCACAGGGAGGAGGAGGGAGCAAGCTTCTTTTCTGCTTCCCTGGAGACTAGGACGCAGAACAATGGCTTCAAACTACAAGAGAGGAGATTCCATCTGAACATGAGGAAGAACTTCCTGACTGTGAGAGCCATTCAGCAGTGGAACTTTCTGCCCCGGAGTGGGGTGGAGGCTCCTTCTTTGGAAGCTTTTAAACAGAGGCTGGATGGCCATCTGTCAGGGGTGATTTGAATGCAATATTCCTGCTTCTTGGCAGAATGGGGTTGGACTGGATGGTCCATGAGGTCTCTTCCAACTCTTTGATTCTATGATTCTATTATTCTATACCCCACTGGGTGTGATCCAAGCTTGCTGGTTGACCTACATTACCAGCTGTACATAGTTATCATCATAAGGTTTTTCTTCAACACACACACAATTGGTCCTGCTATGACTCCAGAAGCTCTCCAGCACCCACACTGTAGTCTAAAAAACCCATACAGATATACCCCATTGGGTGTGATCCAAGCTTGCTGGTTGGCCTACATTACCACCTGTATCAAATATCAACACACACACAATTGGTCCTGCTTTGACTTACCGCAACAATTCCTTCATCTAAATATTAAATGGTGACAGTCCAGTACTGCACCTGCACTGTAGAATGAATGTGAGTTGACACCACTGTGAGTCAGTGCAATAGAATTCCCGGGATTTGTAGTTTTACAGGATCTTTATATTCTATCTGATCTTTGGCTGCAACCTCCTCTCTTGTAATTCAAACCCAGCCCCAAACAAGCCATCTCCAACAGGAAAACCCTGCAGATATCTGAAGATCTTATCTTTTCACCTTTCACTCATCTCTGGGAGAAATATCATCCCATAACTGTATCTCTCAGGACTCCGTTTCCAGACCTTTCATCCATCTGGGTTGTCCTCCTTGGAACACATTTAAGCTCCTTCGGGAAGAACCGTACTCAAAACCCAAATGGAGGTCCAACCAACTCATTTGTTTGGAGCAGTTCAAACTTGTGGCTATCAAGATATTTTGGACTTCAGCTCCCAGAATTCTTGGCCATTGGGCAAGCTGGCTAGGGCTTCTGGGAGTTGGAGGCCCAGGCATCTAGAGGACCACAAGTTGGACACCTCTATTTTAGAGGGAAGATGTTGCTTTTTAATTAACAGGCAATCTCATATGTAAACCAAATTGTGCTGCTTCATAAGACACTGAAAATAAGACAACCCTCCTAAAACAGAATTGGAAATTAGCTGGACCTCCACAAACAATATAGTAAATCAGGTGGATTTCTCCAAAACAGCACTGGAAGTTAGGTGGATCTCTCAAAGCAATGCTTGAAATTAGGTGGACCTCTCAAAACAATGCTTAAAATTAAGCGGATCTCCACAAACAGTCTTGGAAATTAGGTGGACCTCCAAAAACACTCTTGGAAATGAGGTGGATCTTCATAAATAACAATGAAAATTATGAGGTCTCTCCAAACAGCATAAGAAATTGGGTGGACCCCCCAAAAACAGCACTGGAAATTAGATGAACCTCCAAGAACAGCACCAGAAAGTATGAGGTCTCATCAAACAGCATAAAGAATTAGGTGGACCTCCAAAAACAATATAGTAAATGAGGTGGATTCCACCAAAACAGCACTGGAAGTTAGGTGGACCTCTCAAAACAATGCTTGAAATTAGGCAGACCTCCACAAACAGGCTTGGAAATTAGGTGGACCTCCAAAAAAAAAAAAAACTCTTGGAAATGTGGTGGATCTTCATAAATAACACTGAAAATTATGAGGTCTCACCAAACAGCCAAAAATTGGGTGGACTCCCAAATGACAGAACTGGAAATTAGATGAACCTCCAAGAACAGCACCAGAAATTATGAGGACACACCGAACAGCATAAGGAATTAGGTGGACCTCAAAAAACAGCTTTGGAAATTTGATGGACTTCCATAAATATCTCTGGAAATTAGGGGGCCTTACCAAATGTCACTGGAAATTAGGTGGACCTAAAAAAAAAAACTCTTGGAAATGTGGTGGATCTTCATAAATAACACTGAAAATTATGAGGTCTCACCAAACAGCACTGGAAATTAGATGAACCTCCAAGAACAGCACCAGAAATGATGAGGTCTCATCAAACAGCATAAGGATTTAGGTGGACCTCCAAAACAGCCTTGGAAATCTGATGGACTTCCATAAATATCACTGGAAATGGGGGGGCCTTGCCAAATGTCACTGGAAATTAGGTGGACCTCCAAAAAAAAAAACTCTTGGAAATGGGGTTGATCAGCAAAAAAATTGGGTGGACCCCCCAAAAGACAGCACTGGAAATTAGATGAACCTCCAAGAACAGCACCAGAAATTATGAGGTCTCATCAAAGAGCATAAGGAATTCAATGGACCTCCAAAAACAGCACTAGAAATTATGAGGTCTCACCAAACAGCATGAGGATTTAGGTGGACCTCCAAAAACAGCCTTGGAAATTTGATGGACTTCCATAAATATCACTGGAAATCAGGGGGCCTTGCCAAATGTCACTGGAAATTAGGTGGACCTCCAAAAACAGTCCTGGAGATAGGAAGATTTCTCAAAATTACGTAGACCTCCAAAAACAGACTTGGGAATTAGGTGGACTTCCATAAATATCACTGGGAAGTAGTGGGTCTCACCACACAGCCCTGGAAATTAGGTGGACCCCCCCCCCCAAACAATGCTGGGAAATGAGGGGGAATCTCTCAAAACAATACTCAAAATTAGGTGGACCTCCAAAAACAGCCCTGGAAATGAGGTGGGTTTCTCTAACTAACACTGCAAGTCAGGTGGATCTCCAACATGATTCTGGAAATTAGGAGGGTCTCCATTAATAGCACTGTAACGTGGATGGATTCGCCCAAACAGCACTGGGAATTCACTCTTGAGCTCCCTCATATCACAAAGACAGTCCTGAATGGCCTCCTCCAAATCCTCCCTGATTTGGAGGAGGCAGGGTGGAGTATCTAAAGAAGATGGAAACTTACTTCTGCTGGAATTTTCCTTTGGTCTGAGAACATCTGCTGATTGCAGAAGGAGACTTCACTGGAAAATATTTTCCCCACCAAACCAGCCGAGTGGGCAAAGGCTATTTTCTTTTCCTCTTTGATGTCCACAATGTTGATGGAAAAATTGGAGTTATGTAAGAGGTGGGTGTTTGTTGACAGTTGATGGCTATCAACCCAAGAGGGATTGTTTCAACATCAACCAGATCTTCTTGGAAAAGTATAAAAGCTCTCCAAAACTTAGGGGATCTATTCCATCCCAGCCCCAGCTCTTTTCAGAAGGTCCTGAGCGCTTGAAGATCAGGTAAGCCAAAGCTTTGCTGACTTTGACCTTGTGCTTGTATCTGCATATGTTTACTCCCAGGAAAGATTGGAGAACTTCTGGCTTCCAGATGTTGCTGGACTGTAACTACCATCAGTCCTCACTATGGTTGTATCTATGCTGTAGAATAAATCTGGTTTGGCACTACCTTAACTGTCATGGCTCTGTGCTGAGGAATGCTGGGAACTGTAGTTTTGCTAGTCTTCTCTGCCAAAGAGTGCTGGGGTCTCACCAAACTATAACTTCTATGATTCCTTACCATTGAGCCAAAGCAATTGAAGTGGCATCAACCTAAATTCATTCTACAGTGTAGATTCATCCTCCATGGATCTTATTGCCAAGTTGAGTGGTGGTAGTCACAACCTTATGTTTGAAAGTCCAATACGTTTGATGGAAGTTGCTTCTGGGTAAGGATCCATATAATGACCCATACAGTCCTTTATAGACTATCCAAAAGACTGTCCATTCCAATATGAGCCTGATTGAGTGTTGAGATTCTCTGTAGAAGGCCTATTCCTAGTTCCACCCAAGTTATTCCATATAATGTGGGATATCACCCATAAAGTCCTTTACAGACTATCCAAGAACTGTCAATTCCAGTATGAGCCTGGTTGAGATCCTGTGTAGAAGGCCTATTCTTAGTTCCACCCAAGTTACTCCACATAGTGTTGGGTATGACCCATAAAGTCCTTTATAGACTATCCAAAAGAATGTCCATACCAATATGAGCCTGGTTGAGTGTTAAGAGCCTCTGTTGAAGGCTTTTTCTTAGTCCCACCCAAGTTACTCCACATAGTGTTGGCTATAACCCATAAAGTCCTTTATAGACTATCCAAAAGACTGTCCATTCCAATATGAGCCTAATTGAGTGTTGAGATCCTGTGTAGAAGACCTTTTCTTAGTCCCACCCAAATTACTCCACGTAGTGTTAGATATGACCCATAAAGTCCTTCATAGACTATCCAAAAGACTGTGCATTCCAATATGAGCCTGATAGAGTGTTGATATCCTGTGTAGAAGGCCTTTTCTTAATCCTACCCAAGTTACTCCATATAGTCCTAGATATGACCTATAACGCCCTTTATGAACTATCTGAAAGAACGTCTATTCCAATATCCTTACCCAAGAATTCTCTTGGGTGGGACTAAGAGAAAGCCTTCTACAAAGTATCTTAAACATTCAATGAGGCTCATATTGGAATGAATATGAGCTTGATTGAATGCTAAGATCCTTTGTAGAAGGCTCTCTCTTGGTCCCATCCAAGTTATTCTTGGGTAAGACTCCATATAGTGTTGGATATGACCCATAAAGTCCTTTATGGACTATCTGAAAGACTGTCCATTCCAATATCCTTACCCAAGAATAACTTGGGTGGGACCAAGAGAAAGCCTTCTACAAAGGATCTTAACACTCAGCCTGGCTCATACTGGAATGGACAGTCTTTTGGATAGTCTATAAAGGACTTTATGAGTCATACCCAACAATATATGGATTCTTACCCAAGAATAACTTGGGTGGGACCAAGAGGAGGCCTTCTACAAAGGATCTTACATTCAATGAGGCTCCTATTGGAATGAATATAAGCTTGATTGAATGCTAAGATCCTTTGTAGAAGGCCTCCTCTTGGTCCCACCCAAGTTATTCTTGGGCAAGGACCCATATAATGTTGGATATGTTCCATAAAGTCCTTTACAGACTATCTTAAAGACCGCCAGCTCCAATATGAGCCCGATTGAGTGTTGAGATCTTCTGTAGAAGGCATGGATGGAGGGCTTCTTGGTGACTCCTTCCCATTATCTTAAAGACCACCAGCTCCAATATGAGCCCAATTGAGATCTTCTGTAGAAGGCATAGATGGAGGGCTTCTTGGTGACTCCTTCCAAACCATGGGATGTCCTACTGAAAAGTGATAGCTGTCCAACTTCATGTTCCTGATGGGTTGAATTAGATTGTGGTCTCTTTCGATGTTATGATTCTCTTTGCACCAGCAGGCTAAGACCTCACCAAGCTATATCTCTCACGATTCCATGATATGGACCATGGCTGTTGAAGTGGGATCAAACTTAATTCTTTTCATGCATGGATCAAGATTTGTTCTGATGTCTTGTCTTCTCCATCTTGTTCCTTCTCTCTAGATACCCTCCTGAACAATGTCTCAGATGGAGAATGCCATTGACATCATCATCAACGTCTTCCACCACCATTCGATCCAGAAACCCCATCCGGACAAGCTGAGCAAAGCGGAGACCAAGAACCTGATTCAGAAGGAGCTGGCGGAGTTCTTGAAGGTGGGTCAAAGGGAAGAACCAGGGAGAACACCAGCAGCTCTATGTATCTATGGACTCTAAATCCCACTGTCCATAACATGAAAATATCTCTCATTTTCAGATTTAGGGTTCAGTGGGGCCTACATATTCAGAGTTTAGGTGGACTCTCCATATTCTGAGGTTCAATGAAGCTTCTAGATTTGGTGTTGCTATCTTCAGGCTTCAAGAGGAGCTTCCATGTTCTGACTTTTGATGACATATTAGTTTTCAGAGGTAGCAAAGGGTTAAGGGAGAGGAAGCGGGCAGGATCATGCAAATTCCACTCCAATGGAGAGAGTCAGAAACACTGGGATGTCTGTGGTGGAGGAAACACACTTGCTGATTACTTCCACTCTGTTGTGCAGACAGAATTTTAAAGAGTAGCAAAGGGTTAAGGGAGAGGCAGTGGACAGTTTCATGCAAATTCCACATCAATCGAGGGAGTCAGAAACACTGGGATGTCTGTGGTGGAGGAAACACGTTTGCTGATTATTTCTGCTGTTTTTGTTGTGCAGAGATAATTGAAAAGAGTAGCAAAGGGTTAAGGGAGAGGCAGTGGGTGGAGTCATGCAAATTCCACACCAATGGAGGGAGTCAGAAACACTGGGATGTCTCTGGTGGAGGAAACACGTAAAATCAAGGATTAAATGGTCCTCGAATGAAAGCATTCCTTGGGTGGTGGGCAGTATGTTGTTTGGGGAGGACATTGGCAGGGGTTGAGCTACATGGTCCTAAAATGTCCTTGGAGGGAGGGCTTTTGGTGGCTTCTCAACATAGATGTGTCTCTTACATGTCTTTCTTTTTTGGGGACAGAACCAAGTCAATCCGCCTGCTGTGGAGGAAATTTTCAAGCAGCTGGACCAAGATTCAGACAAGGAGCTGTCATTTGAGGAATTCATGCAGTTCATTGTCCAGGTTACTGTCGCGACCCATAAGACCCTTCATGCCCAGTGAAGGACAGATGGAGATGCCTCTGAGTCGACTGCAAGGGAGAAGAAGAAGAAGATGGTAGAACGTGAAGATGACAAAGATTGAGAAGGAGGAGGAGAATGAGAAGGATATAAAATAGATGTGTGCCAAGCTGGGCACCCTGATCCCTGTCATTGGGGGCAGAGAGTCAAAGTTGGAGTCATGGTATTATTGAGACATCAATAAAAGCAACATTTCATCCAGGTTCTTCTCTGGGTTGTCGTGTTTATGTTTGTGATAGGATCTCTCAAAACAATACTCAAAATTAGATAGACCTTCAAAAACAGCACTGGAAATTAGGTGGACTTCCATAAATATCACTGGGAAGTAGTGGGTCTCACCACACAGCACTGGAACTTAGGTGGACCCCCGAAAACAGTGCTGGGAAATGAGGGGGATTTCTCAAAACAATACTCAAAATTAGGTAGACCTCCAAAAACAGCCCTGGGAATTAGGTGGACTTCCATAAATATCACTGGGAAGTAGTGGGTCTCACCACACAGCCTTGGAAATTAGGTGGACCTACAAAAACAGTGCTGGGAAATGGGGGATCTCTCGAAAAAATACTCGAAATTAGGTGGACCTCCAAAAACAGCCCTGGAAATTAGGTGGACTTCCATAAATATCACTGGAAAGTAGGGGGTGTTGCCAAAGGTCACTAAAAAATACTAGATCTCCAAAAACAGGCCTGGAGATAGGAGGGTCTCTCAAAACAATACTCAAAATAAGATAAACCCCCCAAAACAGCCCTGAAATTAGGTGGACTTCCATAAATATCACTAGGAAGTAGTGGGTCTCACCACACAGCCCTGGAAATTAGGTGGACCTCCAAAAACAATGCTGAGAAATGAGGGGGATCTCTCGAAACAATTCTCAAAATTAGATAAACCTCCAAAAACAGCCCTGGAAATTAGGTGGACTTCCATAAATATCACTAGAAATTAGGGGGTCTTGCCAAAGGTCACTGAAAATTAGTAGATCCTGGAGATAGGAGGGTCTCTCAAAACAATACTCAAAATTAGATAGACCTCCAAAAACAGCCCTGAAATTAGGTGGACTTCCATAAATATCACTGGGAAGTAGTGGGTGTCACCACACAGCCCTGGAAATTAGGTGGACTTCCATAAATATCACTGGAAAGTAGAAGGAAGTGGAAGGGAAGGAAGGGGAGAAAGAGCAAGGGAAAGAAAAGGAGGGAGGAAGGGAAGAGGAAGAGAAGGAAGGAATGGGAGAATGAAAGAAAGAAAAAAGGGAGGAAAGGATGAAGGAAAGAGGAAGGGAAGGAAGGGGAGAAAGAGGCAGGGAGGAAGAGAAGGAAGAGAAGGAAGAAATGAAAGAATGAAAGAAAGAAAAAAGGGAAGGAAGGAAGGAGGGAAGAAAGAGCAAGGGAAAGAAAAGGGGGGAAGGGAAGAGGAAGAGGAAGGAATGAATAATAAAGAAAAAAGGAAGGAAAGAAGGAAGGAAAGAGAAAGGAAGGGGAGAAAGGGGAAGGGAAAGAAAAGGGGGGAGGAAGGGAGGAGGAAGAGAAGGAAGGAGAGAATGAAAGAAAGAAAAAAAGGAAGGAAAGAAGGAAGGAAAGAGGAAGGGAAGGAAGGGGAGAAATAGGAAGGGAAAGAAACGGGGGGAGGAAGGGAAGGGAAGAGAAGGAAGGAAGGAAGAAGAGAATGAAAGAAAGAAAAAAGGAAGGAAGGAAGGAAAGAGGAAGGGAAAGAACAGGGGGGAGGAAGAGAAGGAAGGAGGTAGAGAATAAAAGAAAGAAAAAAAGGAAGGAAAGAAGGAAGGGAAGAGGAAGGGAAAGAAAAGGGGGTAAGGGAAGAAGAAGAAGAGAAGGAAGGAGAGAATGGAAGAAAGAAAAAAGGAAGGAAAGAAGGAAGGAAAGAGGAAGGGAAGGAAGGGGGAGAGAATGAAAGAAAGAAAAAAGGGAAGGGAGGAAGAAGGAAGGAAGGAAAGAGGGAGGGAAGAGGAAGAGAAAGAGAAGGAAGGAAGGAGAGAATGAAAGAAAGAAAAAAGGGAAGGGAGGAAGGAAGGAAGGAAGGAAGGAGAGAATGAAAGAAAGAAAAAAGGGAAGGGAGGAAGGAAGGAAGGAAGGAAGGAAGGAAGGAAGGAAGGAAGGAAGGAAAGCGGGAGGGAAGGAAGGAAGGAAGGAGAGAAAGAGTAAGAGAAAGAAAACAGGGGAAGGGAAGAGGAAGAGAAGGAAGGAGAGAAAGAAGGAGAGAAAGTTGGCCACAGCAACGAGTGGTGGGTACAGATTAGTTAAGTATACATTATTATTAGCAATCTGTCCCAAAATGGGAGGATGAAAGCTTAAACGGGACTGGTCAAATCGAAGCAGTTGGAGGGGGTGACAATATCAGGGACCCTTTGGGCCATTTGACGGACACAAGGTGGGATAAGACAGGAAATAAGCAAGTGCAAGCCTTGGCCTTGATGCTGAGAACAATTGACAATGCCAGGACGTGTTGGACAAGGAGCTGCAGCGCTCACAGGAAGCGTGGAGAATCCAGTCCCAGCGGCACAGATGTGCCCGGAATGCAAGTTCGGGCGGATCAAATGGAGGAAGGAGATGGTTTCCGTTTGGTTTCCAAAGACGTTTGGATTTCGAAAGATGTCAAGAGCTTAAGCCTCACCTGGTTATTGATGGTCCTGGGCTGTCATTAGAAAAACAAACAAACAAACAACGCAAAGAGTTCATCCGTGTCAGATTTTGCGGAGGTGGCTTCCTTGTTGGGTTGGATGCCGTAGCGCAGTGGTTCTCAACCTTCCTAATGCCGTGACCCCTTAATGCAGTTCCTCTCGCTTGGCAGGGTCAATGGAGGCGGCCTCAAGACACCTTCAAAATGGCCAGGCGACCCCCCTGGGGGTCGCGACCCTCAGGTTGAGAACCACTGTCATAGAGCAGTGGTTCTCAACCTTCCTAATGCCGTGACCCCTTAATGCAGTTCCTCATGTTGTGGTGACCCCCCCCCCAACCAAATTTGGCACAATTACCCGATACACCCAAATTTGAATACTGGTGGGGTTGGGGGGGGGGGGAGTTGGTTTTGTCATTTGGGAGTTGTAGGTAAAGGTTTTTCCCCCGACATTATGTCCAGTCATGTCTGACTTGGGTGTGGTGCTCATTTCCATTTCTAAGCCAAAGAGCCAGCGTTGTCCGTAGACACCTCCAAGGTCATGTGGCCAGCATAACTGCAGGGAGCATCGTTACCTTCCCACCAGAGCAGTACCTATTGATCTATTCACATTTGCATGTTTTTGAACTGCTAAGTTGGCAGAAGCTGGGGCTGACAGCGGAAGCTCATGCCACTTCCTGGATTTGAACCTGCGCCCTTTCGGTCAACAAGCTCAGCAACTCAGCGGTATCATTGTTGGGATTTATTGTTACCCTACAATCAAAGAGCATTCTGAATTCCACCAACGATGTAATTGAAACAAACTTGGCACACAGATATCCCTTGACCAAAAGAAAATACTGGAAGGGTTTGGTGGCCATTGACCTTGAGTTTTGGAGTTGTAGTTCACCTACATCAGGCGAGCACTGTGGACTCAAACAATGATGGATCTGGGCCAAACCTGGCAAGAATACTCAATCTGCCCAAATGTGAACACTGGTAGAGTTTGGGGAAATTAGACCTTGACACTTGGGAGTTGTAGTTGCTGGGATTTATAGTTCACCTACAATCAAAGCGCATTCTGAACTCCACCAATGATGGAACTGAACCAAACGTGGCACACAGAACTCCCATGACCAACAGAAAATACTGGAAAGATTTGGCAGGCATGGACCTTGAGTTTTGGAATTGTAGTTCACCTACCTCCAAAAGCACTGTGGACTCAAACAATGATGGATCCGGACCAAACTTGACATGAATACTCAATACGCCCAAATGTGGAGTTTGGGGAACATTGACTTGACGTTTGGGAGTTGCATTTGCTGGGATTTATAGTTCACCTACAATCAAAGTGCACTCTGAATCCAGCCCACAATCAAGGGAGGGCTCGCGCGAAGAAACCCCCGGCTGTCTTGTGGCCTTGCCATTTGGCGAGGCCGCGAGGGAGCCGAGGCAGCCTTCACATGAGCCCTCCCTGGGCTCCCCCGCGGGCTCGCCAAATGTGGGCGGGGCCTAAGGAGGCGGCCTCGCGACCCCTCCGAAATGGCCAAATGACCCCCTGGGGGGTCGCGACCCCCAGGTTGAGAACCGCTGCCGTAGCCACTCTGGACCCACTCTGGGATTTAGTCCAGACTTTTTCACAGCTTTCTAAGACTGTCAACCATTTCATAGAGCAGTGGTTCTCAACCTTCCTAATGTGGTGACCCCTTAATACAGTTCCTCGTGTTGTGGTGACCCCCAACCATAACATTATTTTCATTGCTCCTGTTATGAATCGTAATGTCAATATCCGATACGCAGGTTGTATTTTCATTCATTGAACCAAATTTGGCGGAAATGCCCGATAGGCCTAAATTTGAATACTGGTGGGGTTGGGGGAGATTTTGTCATTTGGGAGTTGTAGTTGATGGGATTTATAGTTCACCTACATTCAAAGAGCATTCTGAACTCCACCAATGATGAAATTGAACTAAACTTGGCATACAGAACTCCCATTACTACCATTACTAATAGAAAATACTGGAAGGATTTGATGGGCATTGAGTTGTAGTTCACCTACATCTAGAGAGCACTGTGGACTCAAACAATGACCAATCTGGACCAAACTTGGCATGAATGCTCAATATGGCCAAATGTGAACAGTGGTGGAGTTTGGTGAAAATAGACCTTGACATTTGGGAGCTATAGTTGCTGGGATTTACAGTTCACCTGCAATCAAAGAGCATTCTGAGCCCCACCAAGGATAGAATTGAGCTAAACTTACCAAACAGAATTATTTATTATTTATTTATTTACACCTTTTATATTCCGCCCTTCTCAGGGCGGATTACAGTGTACACATATATGGCAAACATTCAATGCCAATTTTTGACATACAAACATATACAGACACACACAGAGGCTATTTAACTTTTTTCCGGCCGCCAGGGGAGCTGTCGCTTTCATCGTCCATCTGCGACGCTCATGAAGCACTTCCGCATTCCCCGCATGCTTCCGCGCTGGAATGCTTTGCTGGAGTCTTCTTTATGGCCTCATAAATCAGTTAATTTAGCCTCCCCACACTTTTTAAGGTGGTACCTAATTTTCCTACTTGACAGATGCAACTGTCTTTTGAGTTGCAAAGGTCGACAACAGGCTATACACAATTGGTTGGAAACCCACTCTAACCCGGGCTGGCTTCGAACTCATGACCTTTTGGTCAGAGTGATCTTAATGCAGCTGACACTCAGCCAGCTGCACCACAATCCCGGTCAACAGATGGTCTTTGGTGACCCGTCTGACACCCCCCCTTGTTAGGACCCCCTGCTCAGGGGTCCCAATGATGGTGAAAGTGCAAGGCGGGTGAGGGGCCTTTGCGCGAAATCAGGCCTCTCGCTTGGCCCGCGCCCTTGGGGCAGGGCCAACGGAGGCGGCCTCACGACCCCTTCAAAATGGCCAGGCGACCCTCCTGGGGGGCGCGACCTCCAGGTTGAGAACCACTGTCATAGAGGATTTCATTAAAACGGGGATTACTTACTTACTTATTTACAGTATTTATATTTCACCCTTCTCACCCGAAGGGGACTCGGGGTGGATAACGAAACACATATATGGCAAACATTCAATGCCAATTATATAATGATGTCCAGATCTGTCACTCCTTTCCACCTGTCACCAAGGAGGCTGTCCAGACCTTGAACCAGTGCTTGGCCGCTGTTTCGGACTGGATGAGAGCTAACAAATTGAAATTGAATCCAGACAAGACAGAGGTCCTCCTGGTCAGTCGTATGGCCAAACAGGGCATAGGGTTACAGCCTGTGTTAGGTGGGGTCCCACTCCCCCTGAAGACGCAGGTTCGCAGCTTGGGAGTGATCCTGGACTCATCGCTGAGCCTGGAAACCCAGGTCTCGGCGGTGACCAGGGGAGCATTTGCACAATTAAAACTTGTGCACCAGTTGCGCCCGTACCTCGGGAAGTCTGATCTGGTCACGGTGGTCCACGCTCTTGTTACATCCCAAATAGACTACTGCAACGCGCTCTACGTGGGGTTGCCCTTGAAGACTGTTCGGAAACTTCAACTAGTCCAGCGAGCGGCAGCCAGATTGCTCACTGGAGCGACATACAGGGAGCATACCACCCCCCTGCTGTGCCAGCTCCACTGGCTGCCGGTTCAGTTCCGAGCACAATTCAAGGTGCTGGTTTTGACCTACAAAACCCTGTACGGTTCCGGTCCAGTGTATCTGTCCGAACATATCTCCCTCTACGTTCCACCCCAGAGTCTGAGATCATCTGGGGAGGCCCTGCTCTCGACCCCCACCGCTATCACAAGTCAGGTTGGTGGGGACGAGGAGCAGGGCTTTCTCAGTGGTGGCCCCTCACCTGTGGAACTCACTCCCAGGGGAAATCAGGGCATCACCATCCCTCCTCGCCTTCAGGAGGAGGGTGAAGACGTGGTTATGGGACCAGGCCTTTGGGCACGCTTGCAATTAAATCAGATAATCAGGCAAGTAAGGACCAACAGGACGGATGAAGTGGAACGTAAAACTAGATCTATGAGTTAGCGAACGCTGACCATGTAAGAGGAGAAATGGGGTTTGTATTGGTTTTTATTGATTTTATTGATTTTATGGCTATAATGCATGAATTGTTATTAACTGTGAATTGATGTAATTTTGTGTATGATTGTTTTATGATGCAGGCATCGAATTGTGCCTTTGCCTTTGTAAGCCGCCCTGAGTCCCCTTCGGGGTGAGAAGGGCGGGGTAGAAGAACCCCAAATAAATAAATAAATAAATAAATAAATAAATAAATAAATATAAGACAGACAACAGATAGAGCTATATCTATCGCCAGTCTGACAACGGTGGATCCACGCTACTGGTACTTCTCGACCTTACCGCAGCGTTTGACACCGTCGGCTACAATCTAATGATTCACCGTCTTGCCAAGTCTGGGGTTCATGGTCAGGCCCTTAATTGGTTCAACGTTCACTTTTGTGGAGATGTGGCTACCAAGGGATTGTAAAGGGTCAACATTTTACTATGTGACACTGTTGAGCTGTATTTCTGGCATTGGAGAGGGATTGGTGCGTTCTCCCTTGGCAACTTTAGTACTGAAATACAACACTGCCTGAGCTCTGCGAGTGCAGCATTTTTCCAAATGAAGCAGAGAGTGTTTGAGGACTGGGACACCCATGGGGAGACCAAGGTCCTGGTTTATAAACTGGAGGTCAGCTTTGACTAGCAATGTTGTTGAAGGGGCATGAATGGAGGGTGAAAGGGGGAAATGTGCCAAGAGGAAGGCACATCAAACCAACCCTGATCGCGACCGCCTTTCATCTGGAAACTGATGCCCTCATTGTGGAAGAACATGTAGATCAAGGATAGGGTTCCACATCACCTAGGGACCCACCACCAAGACACTACACTTGGAAGGCCATCATACTTGGCCAATGAGAGGTTGCCTAAGTAAGTAAGTAACTAATAAGTAAGTACTCGCTGTTCCAAAAAGCTTTCTCTGGGTTCTGGATTGATCCAAATAGTGGTGGAAATACTCCCTATCGCTGAGCTTCCAGTAAAGGACTATGTTTCGGAATATCTCCCAACTTTGGTTGTCTTAGTTTAAAGCTCTTAAAGCATTGACATGAAGGGCTCTATTTTGGAGACTTTGGTTACATTGGTTTAAGACCCATCAAACACTGACACGAAAGGCTTTATTTTGGAGTATTTCCTGACTTTGGTCATCTTGGGTCAAAGCCCAACGTCCGTGTAGATGGGCCCCTTGAGGCGGAAACCCAAAGTTTCCTATATTTTTTCCCAAGGACCTTATCCAAACAAGCATTACACAACCCACCAAACGCTGTCAAAATTAAGACTAATGGCAGGGCACTCCCACCTCATGAAGGGCTACATTTCAGAGTATTTCCTGACTTTGGTTCTCTTGATTTAAAGCACGTAGCAACATGCAATTATGGCATGCATTGGATCACTGATGCACTGTTACATGTGGTCTCAGGTCAAAGTGGTCCCTGGTCAAGTGGTCCCTGGTCAAAGTGGTCCCTGGTTAAGTGGTCCCTGGTCAAGTGATCCCTGGTCTAAGTGGTCCCTGGACTACTGGTCCTTGTTCAAGTGGACCCTGGTCAAATTGGTTCCTGGTCAAAGTGGTCCCTGGTCAAAGTGATCCCTGTTCAAATGGTCCCTTTTCAAAGTATTGCCTGGTCAAAGTGGTCCTTGGTCAAAGTGGTCCCTGATTAAAGTGGTCCCTGTTCAAGTGGTCCTTGGTCAAAGTATCCCTGGTCAAGTGGTCCCTGGTCAAAGTGGTCCCTAGTCAAAGTTGTTCCTATTCAAGTTGTCACTGTTCAAGTGGCTCCTGGTCAAAGTGGTCCCTGGTCAAGTGGTCCCTGGTCAAAGTGGTCCCTGGTCAAAGTTGTTCCTATTCAAGTTGTCACTGTTCAAGTGGCTCCTGGTCAAAGTGGTCCCTGGTCAAAGTGGTCCCTGGTCAAAGTGATCCCTGGTCAAGTGGTCCCTTTTCAAAGTGGCCCCTGTTCAAGGGGTCCCTGGTTAAAGTGGTGCCTGGTCAAACTGGTCCCTGGTCAAAGTGGTCCCTGTTCAAGTGATCCCTGGTCAAAGTGGTCCCTGTTCCGATGGTCCCTGTCAAAGTGATCCCTGGTCAAAGTGGTCCCTGGTCAAATTGGTCCCTGGTCAAAGTGGTCCCTGGTCAAAGTGGTCCCTGGTCAAAGTGGTCCCTGTTCCAGTGGTCCCTGGTCAAAGTGGTCACTGGTCAAAGTGGTCCCTTGTCAAATGTTCCTTGATCAAGTGGTCTCTGGTCAAAAAAGTTGGGAACTGCATTCAATGCTCAATGTAGATGGGCCTCCCGAAGCTGAAACCCAAACAGGGCTAGTAGACACCAGCCAACAAAGCTATTACACAACCCATCAAATGCTGCCGAAATTGCGACTAATCCAACAGCAGCTGTAATCCCTTGCCACTCACTGCAGTGGCAGAGCCTTGCCTTCAGTGCATTGTCCTCTTTTGCTGTCCCACCCAGCTCAGGGAGACAAGTCAATCCCTGACAAATTGGCATCCATAATCCCACCCACTCCTTGGTTTGTTGTGACATTTGGCACTGATGCCGAGAAATCAGAATAAGTGGCAGGTTGGACAGACCTTAGACACACCAATTACTTAGACAATGTCACGAGATTCGGGTGGGAGGGGTATCTTGGTCCTTTATTTCCCTGGCAAGCATAATCTTGGCAACAAAGCGAAGCCCAACGCCCAAAAGAAGGGTCTGAACAAAGAAGAACTGGGTGGGGTGGATATGGTAGAGCCAAGAAAAGGAGGACATTGGGCTATAAATAAGACGAGCCTTCTTTGACATCTCCATCCCATTCATCCTTCATTGATTTGCTTGGATCCTGAGCTTGGTAAGTTTCAATGAGAAGATATCCTTCTCCCTGTCTTCTGTATGTCCTCCCTCTTTTGTTTCCTTCATAAGTTCTTCTGTCCGTTTTCTCCAAAGTTTCTTCTGCCTGGAAGCCAAGGTTCTTCTATATGTTTTCTCTAAAGGTTCTGTTGTCTGGAGACAAATGTTCTTCTCTCTGGAAACCAAGGTTCTTTTTTCTGTTCTCTCCAAAGCTTCTTCTGTCTGGTGACAAGGGTTCTTCTGTTTTCACCAAAATTTCTTTTCTATGAAAACCAAGGTTGTTCTGTTTTCTCCAAAGGTTCTACTGTTTGGAAACCAAGGTTCTTCTGTCTGTTTCTTCCAAAATTTCTTCTGTCTGGAAACCAAGGTTCTATCTGTTTTCTCCAAAGGTTCTACTGTCTGGAAACCAAGGTTCTGCTGTCGGTTTTTCCCAAAGGTTCTCCTATCTGGAGACAAAAGCTCCTCTTTTGTTTTCTCCACAGGTTCTACTGTCTGGAAACCAAAGTTCTTCTGTCTGTTTCTTCCAAAATTTCTTCTCCTGTCTGGAGACAAAAGTTCTTCTGTTTCTTCTAAAATTTCTTCTATCTGGAAACCAAGGTTCTTCTATCTGTTTTCTCCTAAGGTTCTACTGTCTGGAAACCAAGGTTCTTCTGTTTGTTTCTTCCAAAGGTTCTCCTGTCTGGAGACAAAAGTTCTTCTTCTGTTTCTTCCAAAATTTCTTTTGTCTGGAAACCAAGGTTGTTCTATCTGTTTTCTCCAAAGGTTCTTCTGTTTGGAGACAAAAATTCTTCTTCTGTTTCCTCTAAAATTTCTTCTGTCTGGAAACCAAGGTTCTTCTATATGTTTTCTCCAAAGGTTCTACTGTCTGGAAACCAACGTTCTTCTGTCTGTTTCTTCCAAAGGTTCTTCTATCTCTTTTCTCCAAAGGTTCTTGTATTTGGAATCCAAGATTTTTCTGTATCTTTTCTCCAAAGGTTCTACTGTCTGGAAACCAAGGTTCTTCTGTTTGTTTCTTCCAAAACTTCTTCTGTCTGCAGACAAATGTTATTCTATCTATTTCCTCCAAAGGTTCTTCTGCCTGGAAACCAAGGTTCTTCTGTTTGTTTCTTCCAAAGTTTCTTCTGTGTGCAGACAAATGTTCTTCTATTTCCTTCAAAGGTTCTTCTACCTGAAGACCAAGGTTCTTCTATCCTTTCCCCCCCAAAGGTTCTTCTGTCTGGAGACTAAGGTTCTTCTATCCCTTTTCTCTAAAGGTTCTTCTGTCTGGAAACCAAAGTTCTTCTGTTTGTTTCTTCCAAAGGTTCTTCTATCTGAAGACCAAGGTTCTTCTATCCCTTTTCTTCAAAGGTTCTTCTGTCTGGAGACCAAGGTTCTTCTATCTCTTTTCTCTAAAGGTTCTTCTGTCTGGAAACCAAAGTTCTTCTGTTTGTTTCTTCCAAAGGTTCTTCTGTCTGGAGACCAAGGTTCTTCTATCCCTTTTCTTCAAAGGTTCTTCGGTCTGGAAACCAAGGTTCCTCTATCTCTTTCCTCCAAAGGTTCTTCTGTCTGGAGACTAAGATTCTTCTATCCCTTTTCTTCAAAGGATCTTCAGTCTGGAGACCAAGGTTCTTCTATCTCTTTTCTCCAAAGGTTCCTCTCTCTGGAAACCAAGGTTCTTCTACCTCTTTTATCCAAAGGTTATTCTTCTGTCTGGAAACAGACCTGTAGTCCACAAAGGAAGGAATCGCTATAACCTTTATAATTGCCCTCCATTATAGAAGAAATCCCTATAGCATGGTGGCCTTGGTTAGGGTCAAATGGCCAAGGAAGGATATCACTAATGAAACCATTTGCCCTATTAGATGTTTGCTTCCAACGAATAGGATATCTGGTTTCTTTATGCGCTCTTCCTTGGTCATTTGGCTATAAACCAAGACCACCATGCAGCAGAATCTTTTCTGAATGGCACCGTGGATAAAGTGTGCCCAAGATAGTGGTGTTACAGTTCTTCTTTCTTCTAAAACTAGGGCCAGTTATGACGGTTGTACCAGTTCCTTGCATCATGACCTATGTGTGTGTTTTCAGACTCAATTATAATTCTAGTTATTGCTGATGATGTCCTATACAGCTTAGGTCCAGATGGGCTGTGTCTTCCCCTATAAGTCTGCCTGAACCCCAAAATCCGCAGGGGAGATCTTTCACCGCCTTTCCAGATAAGGTTGATTGACAACCTGAATAATTCCATCTTCCGCTCCTATAAATCATGGTCAATCCTCCCCAAACCTCTGGGTATGTGTACTCAGCAGCAGAGTAGCATAGCGCAAGGGCGGATGTCTTCACTGTGTCTGGTTGTGATCCCCAGGTTGTGCCAGTCAGCTTTCGTATGCTATTGTTTCTAGTGCCCACTTTTTGCTTGATGTTCAGGCAGTGCTTCTTGTAGGTCAGAGCATGGTCCAGAGTAACTCCCAGGTATTTGCATGTGTTGCAATGCTCCAGTGGGATTCCTTCCCAGGTCATCCTCAGAGCTCGGGATGCTTGTCTGTTCTTAAGGTGAAAGGCACATATCTGTGTTTTAGATGGATTAGGGATCAGCTGGTTTCCCCTGTAATAGGCAGTAAGAGCACCTAGAGCTTCAAAGAGCTTCTGTTCAACCATCTCAAAGCTCCCTGCTTGAGCGGTGATGGCACGATCATCAGCATAGATGAAACCCTCTGTCCCTTCTGGCAGTGGCTGGTCATCATTTGTGTAGATGTTGAACATGGATGGAGCAAGCACGCTCCCCTGAGGCAGGCTGTTCTTCTGTTTCCGCCATCTGCTTCTCTGGCCCTGGAACTCAACAAAAAAGCTCCTGTTTTGTAGCAGGTTTCCTATGAGGCGGGTGAGGTGGGCGTCCTTTGTGATATTATACATTCTTCTCAGTAGGAGGCAGCGGTGGTTGACAGTATCATAAGCCGCTGACAGGTCTATGAAGACAGCTCCTGTGATCTGCTGCCTTTCGAAGCCATCTTCTATGTGCTGAGTCTGGTTCAGCACTTGCGATGTGCAGCTTTTGCCTTTCTTGAAGCCAGCTTGCCGTGGGATCAGACAGGGGTCTACTTTTTCCGTAATTCTTTGCAAAATAAGTCTCTCCAGAACTTTGTAGAGGTGGCACAACAGGGAGATGGGTCTGTAGCTTTTTGGGTCATTATGGTCTTTGCCTGGCTTCAAGATGGCGATGACTCTTGCTTTCCTCCAGATTTTGGGGATCTGACAGGATGCAGTGTAGTTGTTCATCAGCTCCAGCAGCCAGCGCCTTGCTTATGGGCCAAAGTTTTTGATTTGTTCCATCCGTAGGTCATCCAGGCCAGCTGCTTTGCCATTCTTACGTTTATTGAGAGCCATGTCCAATTCAGTGGATGTAAAGGGTTCATGAAGGTTGTTGTTCTCATTCTCTGGTTGTCTGGCGATTGGTTTCTTTCCTACTTTGGCGGCAAGGTTGGGTTTCCCATTCTTCAAGAGTTGGTGTGCTATCTGATCTGCCTTTATGTTGGCATGGGTATGAGTTTGTGAGGGGTCATTGCTCAGCGGTGGTTCACAGTATCATAAGCCGCTGACGGATCTATGAAGACAGCTCCTGTGATCTGCTGCCTTTCAAAGCCATCTTCTATATGCTGAGTTTTTTTTAGTGATGGTCACTCCTTGGATTGTGAGGAGTTTTGTTGCCAAATTTGGTGTCATTTGGCCCCGTAGTTTTTTTGTTTTTAAGGTTCTCATTATGCACAGAGCATTTTTTATATATATAGATTATTTTTCTTTAAAGAATGCGGATAGAAAGAGAAATTGACAGATTGTCCCCATTTTCTCCTTATTTGTTTTAGGTTGCTCCCTGAAGCTATTCCAAATGTCTAGGACTAAGCTGGAGCAGTGTGCCGATGACTACATTGACATCTTCCAGGAGTTTGCTCGGCAATCCAAAGATAAGGAAACGGACACTCTGAATAAGACTGAATTTAAGAACCTGATCGAACAGCAGATGCCTTGTTTTCTCAAGGTGATGTTTCCCAAACTTAAACTGGCACCTATCTTCTATCCCTTATTCCCCACTTTTCAAAGTTCCCCTTTCCTAGGAATTCCGGTCATTTATTTCTCGTGTCAGGGCAGCCAGTCAATTATATTACATTTCCAACAGAACAAAGCAAACAAACAGACAAAATACAAAATGTGTGAGTTTGGTAGTTGATTAAATGTCCTTTGACCAGTATCTGGCCACTTGGAGTGCTTCTGGTGTTGCCGCAAGAAGGTCCTCCATGGTGCATGTGGCAGGGCTCAGGTTGCATTGCAGCAGGTGGTCAGTGGTTGGCTCCTCTCCGCACTCACATGTCGAGGATTCCACTTTGTGGCCCCATTTTTGAAGGTTGGCTCTGCATCTCGTGGTGCCAGAGCGCAGTCTGTTCAGCGCCTTCCAAGTCGCCCAGTCTTCTGTGTGCCCAGGGAGTCTCTCATTTGGTATCAGTCATTGGTTGAGGTTCTGGGTTTGAGCCTGCCACTTTTGGACTCTCGCTTGCTGAGGTGTTCCAGCGAGTATCTCTGTAGATCTTAGAAAACTATGTCTGGATGTAAGTTGTTGACGTTCTGGCTGATACCCAAACAGGGGATGAGCTGGAGATGTCTCTGCCTTGGTCCTTTCACTATTGGCTGCTACTTCCCGGCAGATATCAGGTGGTGCGATACCGGCTAGACAGTGTAATTTCTCCAGTGGTGTAGGGTGCAGACACCCTGTGATAATGCGGCATGTCTCATTAAGAGCCACATCCACTGTTTTAGCGTGGTGAGATGTGTTCCACACTGGCATGCATACTCAGCAGCAGAATATCATAGCACAAGGGCAGATGTCTTCACTGTGTCTGGTTGTGATCCCCAGGTTGTGCCAGTCAGCTTTCGTATGATATTGTTTCTAGCACCCACTTTTTGCTTGATGTTCAGGCAGTGCTTCTTGTAGGTAAGAGCACGTCCAGAGTGACTCCCAGGTATTTGGGTGCGCTGCAATGCTCCAGTGGGATTCCTTCCCAGGTGATCCTCAGAGCTCGGGATGCTTGTCTGTTCTTGAGATGAAAGGCACATGTCTGTGTTTTAGATGGATTAGGGATCAGCTTGGTTTTCCCTGTAATAGGCAGTAAGAGCACCTAGAGCTTCGGAGAGCTTCTTTTCAACCATCTCAAAGCTCCCTGCTTGAGCAGTAATGGCACGATCATCAGCATAGATGAAACTCTCTGTCCCTTCTGGCAGTGGCTGGTCATTTGTGTAGATGTTGAACATGGATGGAGCGAGCACACTCCCCTTCCGGTCATGAAGGTAGGCGGGTCCCAAACAGTTTAGGAGTGGCTTTTAGAGCTGGAGAAGGGAGAATGAAGAGCGGAAGAAAAGAAAGAAAGAAAAAGAAAGGAAAAGAAATGAATAGAGAAGGAAAAGGGAGGGAAGGGAGGAAGAGAAAAGGAAAAGTGTGAGGGAATCGAAGGAAAGAAAGAGCAAAAGAAAGGAAGGATGAAAAAAAAAGAGAAGGAAGGAAGGGAGTGTCATGACCTTATTTCCTGGTTTTGTGTAAAGCAAAACAAGCGTGAGGGTTGCCGTGGAAACGGAAGGAATGGAGGGACCAGTAGGAGGGAAATAAACTGGCAGTTGGAATTTTGTTGCGTTCCCTAATGTATGCTTTTGAATTAAAGCCTTCCAACTTTGTTTGCGAGGCAATTAGCTACAGTATGAGGGAAATAAACTGGCAGTTGGAATTTTGTTGCGTTCCCTAATGTATGCTTTTGAATTAAAGCCTTCCAACTTTGTTTGCGAGGCAATTAGCTACAGTATGAGGGAAATAAACTGGCAGTTGGAATTTTGTTGCGTTCCCTAATGTATGCTTTTGAATTAAAGCCTTCCAACTTTGTTTGCGAGGCAATTAGCTACAGTATGAGGGAAATAAACTGGCAGTTGGAATTTTGTTGCGTTCCCTAATGTATGCTTTTGAATTAAAGCCTTCCAACTTTGTTTGCGAGGCAATTAGCTACAGTATGAGGGAAATAAACTGGCAGTTGGAATTTTGTTGCGTTCCCTAATGTATGCTTTTGAATTAAAGCCTTCCAACTTCGTTTGTGAGGCAATTAGCTACAGTATGAGGGAAATAAACTGGCAGTTGGAATTTTGTTGCGTTCCCTAATGTATGCTTTTGAATTAAAGCCTTCCAACTTTGTTTGCGAGGCAATTAGCTACAGTATGAGGGAAATAAACTGGCAGTTGGAATTTTGTTGCGTTCCCTAATGTATGCTTTTGAATTAAAGCCTTCCAACTTTGTTTGCGAGGCAATTAGCTACAGTATGAGGGAAATAAACTGGCAGTTGGAATTTTGTTGCGTTCCCTAATGTATGCTTTTGAATTAAAGCCTTCCAACTTCGTTTGTGAGGCAATTAGCTACAGATCCGGACAAAGGGGAAAAGGTATGAGGGGAGGAATGGAGAACTACAGGGAGACCTGGATATTGCTCCTAAAGAATTTATTTATTTTTTATTTATTTATATACAGCTTTTATATTCCGCCCTTCTCACCCTGCAGGGGACTCAGGGCGGATTACCGTGTACACATATATGGCAAACATGCAATGCCAATTTTGACATACAACATATACAGACATACACAGAGGCTATTTAACTTTTTCTGGCTGCCACGGGAGCTGTCGCTTTCATCGTCCATCTGCGACACTGATGAAGCACTTCCGCATTCCCCGCATGCTTCCCCGCTGGAATGCTTTGCTGGAGTCTTCTTTATGGCCTCATAAATCAGTTAATTTAGCCTCCCCGCACTTTTTTAAAGGTGGTACCTTATTTTCCTACTTGACAGATGCAACTGTCTTTCGGGTTGCAAAGGTCGACAACAGGCTACACACAATTGGTTGGAAACCCACTCCAACCTGGGCTGGCTTCGAACTCATGACCTTTTGGTCAGAGTGATCTTAATACAGCTGACACTCAGCCAGCTGTGCCACAATCCTGGTGCAATTCAAAAGCATACATGACCTTATTTCCTGGTTTTGTGTGAAGCAAAACAAGCGTGAAGGTTGCCATGGAAATGGAAGCAATGGAGGGGCCAGTATGAGGGAAATAAACTGGCAGTTGGAATTTTGTTGCGTTCCCTAATGTATGCCTTTGAATTAAAGTCTTCCAACTTTGTGAGGCAATTAGCTACAGTATGAGGGAAATAAACTGGCAGTTGGAATTTTGTTGCGTTCCCTAATGTATGCTTTTGAATTAAAGCCTTCCAACTTTGTTTGCGAGGCAATTGGCTACAGTATGAGGGAAATAAGCTGGCAGTTGGAATTTTGTTGCGTTCCCTCATGTATGCTTTTGAATTAAAGCTCTCCCCTCTTTCTCTTTGCAGCAAGTTCGTGATCCTCAGGCTCTGAACCAATTCTTTGCCAAGGTGGATGCAAACAAAGATGGGAAGATTGATTTCGTGGAATGCACAAAACTTCTGTCGGAATTCTTGTTGCTCTGCCATGAGAAGCTCTTCCAGCAGGAGGGTGGACCCCACGGCCATCCTCATTGCCACTGAAAGGCCAGGCTCAACGGTTTGGGCAAAATAAATCAAATCAAATCAAACCAAACCAGCCTTCCGAAATACGGATGTACGCACCTTCCTAGAATACTCCCACTTGGAATGGAATGATTGAAGCAGCAAATTGAAAAAAAAAGAAAATAAAAATATATTAACTTGCACCTTCTCTGAGGATTTCTTCATTTGATTCCGCCGCATAGGACAAGGGTTCCCAATCTGTGATCCGTGTCTCTAAAGCTGGTGCTTTGCTTCGAAAGTGTTTTGAAAGTTCTGGCAGTGAAAATTTCAGAACTCTATCAAAACTTTCAAAATTTCATTATTATTTCGTTAATGGCGATTTTTTAATGACAGAACCAAATAGGAACTGCCATTTATAGTGAACTTTTGAAAGTTTTTGTTAGAGTTCTGAAATTTTCACCACCAGAACTTTCGAAACACTTTAGAAGCAAAGCACCATCGCCACCTAGTGTTGTAAGTAGTTTAGAACCATTTAGAACCATGGATTGCACATGCCTAGTATCTTGGTTCTTCTATCTGTTTTCTCTAAATGTTCTTCTGTCTGGAGATAAGGGTTCTCCTGTCTGGAAATCAAGGTTCTTTTTTCTGTTCTCTCCAAAGGTTCTTCTGTCTGGAATCCAAGGTTCTTCTATCTGTTTTCTTTAAATGTTCTTCTGTCTGGAGACAAGGGTTCTCCTGTCTGGAAACCAAGGTTCTTCTATCTGTTTTCTTTAAACGTTCCTCTGTCTGAAGACGAAGTTTCCTCTGCCTGGAAACCAAGGTTCTTGTTTTTATTCTCTCCAAAGGTTCCTCTGTCTGGAATCCAAGGTTCTTCTATCTGTTTTCTCTAAATGTTCTTCTGTCTGGAGACAAGGGTTCTCCTGTCTGGAAACCAAGGTTCTTCTATCCGTTTCCTTGAAATGTTCTTTTGTCTGGAAACAAAGGTTCGTCTGTCTGGAAACCAAGGTTCTTCAATCTGTTTCCTCTAAATGTTCTTCTGTCTCAAGACAAGGGTCCTCCTGTCTGGAAACCAAGGCAAGGTTCTTCAATCTGTTTCCTCTAAATGTTCTTCTGTCTGGAGACAAGGCTTCTCTTGTCTGGAAATCAAGGTTCTCCTATCTGTTTTCTCCAAAGATTCTATCTGGAATCCAAGCTTCTTTTTTCTGTTTTCTTTAAATGTTCTTCTGTCTGGAGACAAGGGTTCTCCTGTCTGGAAACCAAGGTTCTTTTTTCTGTTCTCTCCAAAGGTTCTTCTGTCTGGAATCCAAGGTTTTTCTATCTGTTTTCTCTAAATGTTCTTCTGACTGGAGACAAGGCTTCTCCTGTCTGGAAACCAAGGTTCTTCTATCTGTTTTCTTTAGATGTTCTTCTGTCTGGAGACAAAGGTCCCTCTGTCTGGAAACCAAGGTTCTTCTATCTGTTTTCTCTAAATGTTCTACTGTCTGGAGACAAAGGTCCCTCTGTCTGGAAACCAAGGTTCTTCTATCTGTTTTCTTTAGATGTTCTTCTGTCTGGAGACAAAGGTTCTTCTATCTGTTTTCTCTAAATGTTCTTCTGTCTGGAGACAAGGGTTCTCGTGTCTGAAAACCAAGCTTCTTTTTTCTGTTTTCTCCAACTGTTCTTCAGTCTGGATCCAAGGTTCTTCTATCTGTTTTCTCTAAATGTTCTACTGTCTGGAGACAAGGGTTCCTCTGTCTTTTTTCTCTAAATGTTCTACTGTCTGGAGACAAGGGTTCTCCTGTCTGGAAACCAAGGTTCTTTTTTCTGTTCTCTCCAAAGGTTCTTCTGTCTGGAATCCAAGGTTCTTCTATCTGTTTTCTTTAAATGTTCTTCTGTCTGGAGACAAGGGTTCTCCTGTCTGGAAACCAAGGTTCTTTTTTCTGTTCTCTCCAAAGGTTCTTCTGTCTGGAATCCAAGGTTCTTCAATCTGTTTCCTCTAAATGGTCTTCTGTCTGGAAACAAGGCTTCTCCTTTCTGGAAACAAAGATTCTTCTATCTGTTTTCTTTAAATTGTCAAGTGGTCCCTTTTCTTCAAAGGGTCTTCGGTTTGGAGACCAAGGTTCTTCTATCTCTTTTCTCTAAAGGTTCTTCTGTCTGGAAACCAAGGTTCTTCTGTTTGTTTCTTCCAAAGGTTCTTCTTTCTGGAATCCAAGGTTCTTCAATCTGTTTCCTCTAAATGTTCTCTTGTCTGGAAACAAAGGTTCCTCTGGCTGGAAACCAAGGTTCTTCTATCTGTTTTCTTTAAATATTCTTCTGTCTGGAGACATAGCTTCTCCTTTCTGGAAACAAAGGTTCTTCTATCTGTTTTCTTTAAATGGTCAAGTGGTCCCTGGTCAGAGTGGTCCCTGGTCAAAGTGGTCCCTGGTCAAAATGGTCCCTGGGAAAGTGGTTCCTGGTTAAGTGTTCCCTGGTCAAAGTGGGCCCTGGTCAAAATGGTCTCTGGTCAGGTGGTCCCTGTTCAAGTGGTCCCTGGTCAAAGTGGGCCCTGGTCAAGTGGTCTCTGGTCAGGTGGTCCCTCGTCAAGTGGTCCCTGGTCAAAGTGGGCCCTGGTCAAAATGGTCCCTGGGGAAGTGGTTCCTGGTTAAGTGTTCCCCAGTCAAAGTGGTCCCTGTTCAAGTGGTCCCTGGTCAAAGTGGGTCCTGGTCAAGTGGTCTCTGGTCAGGTGGTCCTTGGTCAAGTGGTCCATGGTCAAAGTGGGCCCTGGCCAAGTGGTCCCTGGTCAAAAAAACATTGGGAACCATTGGTATAGGATATACTTTGTTTCTTAAAAATGTACAGTTAAACCACTTTGCATAGGGGCTAACTGTGGTCCTCTTGTCCAAAGATGTACTCGTGGTTGCTATCTTGGCCCCATATATTGGTATTAGATGCCATCAGATTTATCAAATTAAGGGGACTGTGCCAATTCATTAGTGTCAGAGAATATCATTTGCTGGGAGCTGCTAACTACGATAGTTCAATATTGCCTTCGTGGTCACTGCCTCTATTGGTGCATCTTCACTGCAGAATTAATGCAGTTTGGTCCTACTTTAACTGCCGAGGTTCCACACTATTGGAATTATGGGAGTTGTGTGACAGGAGCTCAAGAACTGCTAGGATATCATGGCAGTTACAATGGTGGTTGGCCCAATAAAGGGAGACCTACTTTTGTGGATTTTGGAGCATGGCCATCACAACTCCCCTTGAATACGTTTCCTGGAGCTACAGATGGTCATCATGGTGGTTTTGAAGCCTCAGGTGTTTGATGAAGTCCAAACGGGATGTGGGGTTCGGGAGGGAGAAGAGGCAGGGGATGAAGCAAGAGCTTCGTCTGCCATAAAGATCTTTAACACGGTGAGGGTCTTGCCCAAGACTGTCCACTTCTTGCGGCGAATGTTGCGTCCTACCTTTATCGGCTGGTTCCTCGCAACGTTTTTATGAGTTTGAAAAAGAAGTCTTGGGGAGAATTGCTCAAGGGAAGGGGGTAGGCCTTTGTAGAGGATTGCTATTTCGAGAAGAATCTGGTCACACGCCTTGGGCAAGAGCCTGATACTGGGATGGACAAGCAGGTTTGGTAAGGGAGAACAATTGCACAACCTTGGAGAGGAGGGCTGTCTTCAAAGAGGGAGGCAAGAATATAAGAAGGGACGACATCCTAGGGGTCTTCACACCATCTTGAACCACTCCTCTTCTCCTCTCCATCGCTGATTCAGGTAAGTTCTAGACACTCTGTTGGCTCTCTTTGCTTGTGGGACACTATGCATCCCACCAAGATTGGATAGGGGTCTACAAAGGAAGGGAAGGGCCTGTAGGCTAGGTTTTAAGAGAAGATGAGACTTCCTAGTCTAAGAAAACCCCAAAATTAAGGTGCTATAAGGCACCTTAAAGATCAACTGAGAGAATGGATCTGGAAGCAGAACGTTCTGAAGTTCTGTAAGACCAATGCCGTTGGACACCACTTGACTTGGTCAATGGTAGAGTGTAGTTTTGCTAAAGAGTGCTGGTGACCTACCAAACAACAACTCCCTGATTCCATAGCATTGAGACACAGCAGTTAAAAGTTGTCCAACTGCATTCATTCTACTATGTAGATCAGTGGTTCCCAACCTTTGGTCCTCCAGATGTTTTGGACTTCAGCTCCCACAATTCCTAACAGCTGGTAAGTAGACTGGGACTTCTGGGAGTTGAAGTCCAAGACAACTGGAGGACCAAAGGTTGGGAACCACTGGGGTAGATGAATCCTCTCTTTCACCCTGAGATTCTTCTGTGACAGAATGAGGTTGGACAAGATTGTCCCTCCAACTCCAAGGTTCTACTATTCCAAGTTGCTTTATGGAATTGTTTGGGTTTTCTTAGACTATGAATTCTCAGCTTCTCTTAAAACCTAGCCAACAGACCCTTCCCTTCCTTTTGTAGACCATCATCCAATCTTGGTGGGGAGGGGTATCAGAAGCTATTCATGGGGTTGTCCTCTGCCCATCCTGATGGAGTGCTTCAAAGAAAACCTATCAAAATGGCAGTGATCCCTTAACTAGAACTAATGGAGAAAGATGGCCTCAAGGACTCGTCATCTTCCACCTTGAGCTCTGAGGGTTCTCGTTGGTCTTCAGTGGCCATGATTGAAGGGATATTGATATATATGTATAGATAAACAAGCTGGCCTTGTAGAAGACCACATTTCGATAAATCTGTCCCCCACCCATTAAAGTAAATCTCATTCTTGTAGGTCAACCACCAAGTCAAGATGTCTCCGACTCAAATGGAAAGTTGCATGGAGACCGTTGTCAATATTTTCCACCAATATTCCGTGCGCCAAGATCATTTTGACAAGCTCAGCAAGAAAGAGATGTCCCAGCTGGTTCACAAGCAGTTCCCCAACTGGTTGAAGGTGAGCATCAAGGAATACATTGGGCATAAGCTCATTTTTTTCAGAAGAAATCCCATTCCCTTCCTTATTGAGATCTATTGACCTACACATAGATCTGTGAGGGAAGGGACTGAATAATGGGTGGGAAGCAAAGTTTGGGTGATACCAGAGCTTGGTTCCAAATGAGGTGGACTGCAGGTCCCATAAGACCTGCCTACCTGCCTAATGATTGTGTTGGCTTGGGATTTATGGAAGTTCTAACCCCAAAAACCAGATTCTATTCTCCTTGGTTCAATATGTTCCAGATCTACAGTATGGAGTTATGGTAGTTTGATACCACTTGAACACTACAACAGGTCCTGAGAGTTGTAATTTACTCAAGTATTTCCAATGCATTATTTGTGTCACAATTTTGTGAAGGACTGAAGAAGAAAACAAACATATTTATGGGTACTACAGAATCTGGGGATGGTTTTGTGGGGTGAGGTGGAGGTATTCTTCAAAAACATTCAACATGTTGATGTCCCATGTATACACACATATATACACAGTCATGTTTACTGCCATAGGGATCCTGGGATTTGTAGTTTGGTTGGGTACATCAGATTCTCTGCCAGATAGCTCTTGTCCCCCCCCCCCCCATACACTAAAACAGTTGACCATTTCAGAAGAGGATTTGAAATCCCTCACCAAACCACAAATCCCAGGAAAGCAGACAATTCTAACTGCATGTTGTTATTTTTATTTATATTTATCCCATAAGAGTGTCCATACTTCATCCTTGGAAATCTCTAGTGTCCATACTTCATCCTTGGAAATCTCTAGGAGGTTCTAGTTGGGTCTGGATGCAACCCTAAACCCCATAATTTCTCAGTTTTGATATATTTTTAATTAAATATTATTATTATTGTGTCCATAGGAGCAAAAGAACCCCAAGGCCATTGAAGAATTGTTCAAACAGCTGGACCAGGACCAGGACAATCAACTGTCCTTTGGAGAATTCATGGTCTTCATCTGCAAGTTGACCATTGCCACTCATGAGCACATTCACCAGGAAGGGGATGATGGGCACGCCCACCACCAGCACTAAGTCCTTTGTGGAAGATTGAGAGGACTGGAAAAGCAATCCCAGCTTCTCCAATGGGCCTGGGAAAGGGGTTCGAACCAGCAGGTCACAATAAAGTTAATTCCAGAGAAAGTTGTTTTGTGTTGTCTTTGAAAAAATATATCCATGTTCTTGAGAAGGTTCTGGAGGAATGTCTGGAGAACATTGTCACAGGTCTTTTTCTAGAGAAGGAGGACAACTTCAATCTCATCTATCAAGGTGAAGACTGGGGCGGGTAGCAGCAGATAGTGTGTGCTGAAGGCCATGAAGGAATGTCCTAGCCAACCTAACGATAGCCATTTGCCCTACAGTTGTAGTCCATTTCAGTTCATCTCACCCAAATGCTCATAAGGTCTACTCTGAAGCACAAGGCCAAAGAACGGGAGTCCCTCCAAAGATAGCTGGATTCTAATTCCCATTAGATGCATTGCAGAGGACTGTAGGTTCTCCATCACTTAGTCTAGGATAGACAATGATGTATCTCCAGATACTGTTGGACTGCAACTTTCATTAGTCCTAGCTGACACAGTGGCTGGTCAGGACTCATGACGGTTGCAGTTGAAGAACATCTAGAGGAAAACAATTGTCTACTTACATTGCTATATCCTTATATTATCCTGATGGGCCTTTAAATCAACAAACCAGAGGTTCTCAAAGTGTGCTCCATGGAGCCTTTGGGACTCCACAAAGTATACGGAGGCACTCCACAGTCCATGAGAAACTTTGACGTCAGTAGGACTCCGTGACTGGAAAAGTCTGAGAAAGATCCAGTGGTGACTTGCCATTGTCTCCTTCGATGGTTCAGAAAGTAGCTCAGCCAAGGTTCTCTGGTGGGTTTCCATAGCTGAGTGAAGACTCGAACTATGGTCTTCTGGAATTTGCCAGCTGCACCTTGCCATTGTCTCCTTTGATGGTTCAGAAAGTAGCTCAGCCAAGGTTCTCTGGTGGGTTTCCATAGCTGAGTGAAGACTCGAACTATGGTCTTCTGGAATTTGCCAGTCGAACCTTCTCAGGATGGAGTTGTCCATCACTTCAACCATTTCACAGCACTGGTTCTCATACATGATAGACCTATGTTATGGAATCGTGAGAGTGGTAGTAGGGCACCAGCACACTTTGGCAGAAAAGGCTTATTAAACTACTAGCCATCCCCTGCCACGCGTTGCTGTGGCCCTCATGGGGGTTCTGTGTGGGAGGTTTGGCCCCATTCTATCGTTGGTGGGGTTCAGAATGCTCTGTGATTGTAGGTGAACTATAAATCCCAGCAACTACAACTCCCAAATGTCAAGATTCTATTTTCCCCAAACACCACCAGTGTTCACATTTGGGCATATTGAGTATTCGTGTAGAGTTTGGTCCAGATCCATCATTGTTTGAGTCCACAGTGATCTCTGGATGTAGGTGAACTACAACTCCAAAACCAAAGGACACTCCCCTTCAAACCCTTCCAGTATTTTCTATTGGTCATGGGAGAACTGTGTGCCAAGTTTGGCCCAATTCGATCTTTGGTGGGGTTCAGAATGCTCTTTGATTGTAGGTGAACTATAAATCCCAGCAACTACAACTCCCAAATGACAAAAATCATTTTTTTGAGTGAAGGGCATACATTGGATTGTTAGGTGTCTTGTGTCCAAATTTGGTGTCCATTCGTCCAGTGGTTGTTGAGTTCTGTTAATCCCACTAACGAACATTACATTTTTATTTATATAGATAACCCCTATGTTTCCATAGCCTTGAGCCAGGGCAGTGAAAGTGGTGCCAAATTACATCTCTTCCACTGTGTAGATGCACCCAATAGTGACCTGGAAAGGTGTATCTGGAGTTTGTTCTATTTGGCTCTATGACCAAGACTGCTCCCCTGATCGCAATTGCTTTGTGGGTGTTTTGTCAAAGTCCAAATGTCTCTGGGGTGCAGGGAGTTTGGAGGAGAAGGGTCCAAAGAAGAAGCAAGTATGAACCTATCTAACAATTTTCAGAGAAGATATCTATGCAGAGCAAATATTGCACAAGATCCCCCTAAAGCTTGCAGGAAATATAAGTGCACCCAGCTGGTTTGGTGGAAACTTTTTGTGAATTTCACAATAAACACTCTGGGGGATTACTCAAGACAGGGGTACTATGCCAATGTTAATGTTAATGATTTGTTTTATTTCCTCCTCAAGGCTTGAGGAGAAGTATATTTATTTATTTATTATTTATTGACTTTGCTTCTATACCGCTGTATCTCAAGCCCGAAGGCGACTCACAGCGGTTCGCAAACAGTAAAAACAGTAGAAACAGTAGTGGTTCCATACAACATATAACAATTGACTTAACACATTATCCATAAATTAACAATAAGCAATTACAATGCACAATTATTACAAAAAACAACCGTACCCAATCTTCTCATCATCCAAGCGTAGTCCAGATTCGTCGTCCATTGTTCCATTCCTATGTTCCATTACCAGATTGCACTAAATTACTCAAACGCCTGCACAAACATCCAGGTCTTCACCTTTTTGCGGAATACCATTAGAGATGGTGCTAGTCTAATGTCCGTAGGAAGGGCGTTCCACAGCCGAGGAGCCACCACCGAGAAGGCCCTATCTCTCGTCCCCGCCAGCCGAGCTTGAGAAGCAGGCGGGATCGAGAGCAGGGTCTCCCTGGAAGATCTCAAAGTCCTGGTGGGTTCATAGGCAGAGATGCGGTCAGATAGGTAGCTTGGGCCGGAACCGTTTAGGGCTTTAAAGGCCAACGCCAGCACTTTGAATTCAGCCCGGTAGCAGATCGGTAGCCAGTGGAGTTGGCGCAACAGGGGGGTTGTATGCTCCCTGCGCTCCGCTCCTGTTAAAATCATGGCTGCCGAGCGTTGGACTAGTTGGAGCTTCCGAGCTGTCTTCAAAGGCAACCCCACATAGAGAGCGTTGCAGTAGTCTAAACGGGATGTAACCAGAGCATGGACTACCGTGGCCAAGTCAGACTTCCCAAGGTACGGGCGCAGCTGGCGCACAAGCTTTAGCTGTGCAAATGCTCCCCTGGTCACCGCTGAAACCTGGGGTTCCAGGCTCAGCGATGAGTCCAGGGTCACACCCAAGCTGCGAACCTGCATCTTCAGGGGGAGTGCGGCCCCATCCAACACAGGCTGTAACCCTATGCCCTGTTCGGCCTTGCGACTGACCAGGAGGACCTCTGTCTTGTCTGGATTCAATTTCAATTTGTTCGCCCTCATCCAGACCGTCACAGCGGCCAAGCACCGGTTCAGGACCTGGACAGCCTCCTTAGTAGCAGGTGGAAAGGAGTGACAGAGTTGGACATCATCCGCGTACAGATGACACCGTACCCTGAAACTCTGGATGATCTCCCCAGCGGCTTCATGTAGATGTTAAACAACATGGGAGACAATATTGAGCCCTGAGGAACCCCACAAGGACAATGGTTGTGGGGTTGAACAGGTGTCCCCCAACAACACCTGCTGAGATCGACCCTCCAGGAATGACCGGAGCCACTGCAAAACAGTACCTCCAAGACCCATCCCCGCGGGGCGTCCCAGAAGGATACCGTGGTCGACGGTATCGAAGGCCGCTGAGAGGTCCAGCAGCACCAACAGGGACACACTCCCCCGTTAAGCTCCCGGCAGATCATCCACTAAGGCGACCAAGGCTGTCTCGGTACCATGTCCCGGCCTAAAGCCAGACTGTGCCGGGTCTAGATAATCCGTGTCTACCAAGAATACCTGGAGTTGTGAGGCCACCACACGTTCCAAGACTTTGCCCAAGAAGGGGAGATTGGAAACTGGCCGATAGTTGTCGAATTTAGTGGGGTCCAGTGATGGTTTCTTCAACAGCGGTTTTATTATAGCTTGTTTTAAGCTCGCTGGAATCTTGCCTTCCCGAAGGGAAGCATTAACCACCACCTTAACCCACTCAGTTATATATAGTTATATATCATCAGCATACAGATTGCATCCCAAACGATGCCTTTGGAGGATCTCTTCCAGTGGTTTCATGTACATGTTAGAAAGCGTTGAGGATAGAATGGCACCTTTTGGGAATACCACATCACAGCTCCTTTTCTGCTGAGAATCTGTCCTGAAGCACCACAACATAAGAGGGATGCTGTCTCCTGCTCCCAGATCACCAACAGGGACACAAATCCCTTTGTCAATGTTTTGAAGGAGATCATCCACTAAGGAGGCCACAGCAGACTTAGCACTCCATGTGTGGTGGCCTCACAACTCCAGCTATTCTTGGAAGACACGGATTATCTGGATCCGGCTGTCTCCTGTTCCCAGATCACCAATGCATTCCAGAAGGGTACCATGGTTGATGATACTGGATGCTTCTGAGAGGCCTAAAAGCACCAACAGGGACACAAATCCCCTTGTCAATGTTTAGAAGGAGATCATCCACTAAGAAGGCCATAGCAGTCTTAGCAGTCCACCTTGTTGGGCAAAGTCCTGGAACGTGTGGTCGCCTCACAACTCCAGGTATTCTTGGAAGACACGGATAATCTGGATCCAGCTGTCTCCTGTTCCCAGATCACCAATACATTCCAGAAGGATACTATGGTTGATGATACTGAACGCTTCTGAGAGGCCTAAAAGCACCAACAGGGTAGCATTCCCTTTGTCAATGTTTAGAAGGAGATCATCCATTAAGGAGGCCACAGCAGTCTTAGCAGTCCACCTTGTTGGGCAAAGTCCTGGAACGTGTGGTGGCCTCACAACTCCAGGTATTCTTGGAAGACACAGATAATCTGGATCCAGCTGTCTCCTGTTCCCAGATCACCAATACATTCCAGAAGGATACCATGGTTGATGATACTGAACGCTTCTGAGAGGCCTAAAAGCACCAACAGGGAAGCATTCCCTTTATCAATGTTTAGAAGGAGATCATCCATTAAGGAGGCCACAGCAGTCTTAGCAGTCCACCTTGTTGGGCAAAGTCCTGGAACGTGTGGTGGCCTCACAACTCCAGGTATTCTTGGAAGACACGGATAATCTGGATCCAGCTGTCTCCTGTTCCCAGATCACCAATACATTCCAGAAGGATACCATGGTTGATGATACTAGACACAATCTAGACATTGTCTTACTTCCTGTC